CCATGCTCTGGGGGTACACAGAAGATACCCTGGGGTGTCGAAAGGTGAGAGGGCTAGAAGAAAGCAAAAGCTGTCAAGCCCTTAAAATGGGTAGCCTAGGCTGAGGCCAGCTTCTAGGAGGCATCTGTCTCAAGAGGGGCATTGAGGACAGGAGCTGAGCCAGAAGGATTTCTGGCTCCTGTCCTACAAAGATCAGGGACCTGAAGGATGACATGGGCAATCAGGACCATGACAAGTAGGGTATACCCAAGTATTCCCTGCCTTTTGGTGGGCTGCTTACCATCTATCCCATTCCTTTCAGAAACCAGTAAAGACAGCTCGGGCACCAAGCCGGCCAGCAAGCGACCCATGTCGTCTCCAGAAATGTAAGTAGTCAGTCTCTTTCTAGATTCTTCTGTAGGAGGTACTTAGAGTGGAAATAGGCTTCAGGTGCTTGGGACTATATTCACATAGGGTCCTGAATCAGTGTTTTTGCAATGTTCTTGGGACTCTCTATAACTGTTCTTCCTCTCTTTTTTACATAAAGGAAATCTGCTCCAAAGAAGTCTAAGGCTGATGGTCAGTGAGGAAGCTGGCCAGCATCTGAATCCTCCAGACCCCTCTGCTTCAGGAACGCCCTATAGGGCCCACCCTCCCACCCTGCCCACCCAGCCTTTGCACTTCACCCTCACCAACCACTGGCTACCATTCAGTCTCCCCACTTCCCTCTGTTTTTACAATAAAGAAAGCACATTTTACCATTGCTGTTGGGAGGAAAGCAGAAGACAGATTGGAAAGAGTGGCGAGTAAGCAAATGAGTGCAAGTTGTGCTCCTTCCTTTTCCTGGTGACCTCCATGAGTTAATTATGACTGGACAGTTCAGAGACTTTGGGAAGAGAGGTTAAAACTGAAAACAAAGGAGATAGCACCCACACTTAAGCCTGCACTTGTTTGTAGTTAATCGTCCTTAGTACCTCCTACAGAAGAGTCTTGGCTGAGAGACAGCCAAGGGCTAGAGGGGGAAATGGTGTCCCCCAAGTTCCCTCAGAGGCTTTTCCCAGCAGGTGCCCCATTCTGGGTATCTGTCTGGTTCTAGTTTGTTTTGTTAATACCCTTTTATTTTCAGCCACCTCCCAGCCCTTCTTCAGGCTTAGTCAGATCTGTCTCATCCAGCAAGCCTATCAGAAGCTTAACACATCTCAGAGGCCTTTGTGCTACCACTTAACACCTCTCCCTTCCTCTTTACAAAACAGATGAGGGAAAAGGAGCCTTGGGTGGTCTGAGCAGTGGCTGTGAAACCCTCCCATTGGGCACAGAGTGGTCCCCAGTGACCCTGGCTTTGGCCCACCTTGTTTGAGCCTGGGGGCCCTATCACCAACTGCTGCGTTTGTTGTACTTTTTAAGTTGAAATTAATGAAATTAACATTTTTATTGTAATTTTAGCCATAGCGTGTGGGGGTTTATCCCTTTTTGTTAGCTCTGTACAGAATGTGTATCGTATTCTCCCCCCCCCCCCCCCCCCCCCCCCCCCCCCCCCCCCCCCCCCCGGCTAATAATTGGCAGGGATCTTTCTAGGGAAAAGCTGAGAGCAGCTAGGGCAGAAGAGAAGCAGTGTCCTGGGTAGGACCTGGTAGACATTGCCTCCTCAACTAATTTCCTGTTGCTAGCCCCTGCCTGCTTTTGGAACAGTGTGAGACATTAACCTTTATTTCCTGTGGGTTAGCACTTGATATGTAGAGGCTTGGGCTTGAAGGTGGGGTTCGCCTTCATCAGCATCATTTGCAGAGATTGGCCCTGAACAACACAGCAGGAGCAGGGGATAGGTGGGTCCTGGCCACCTTGAAGGCAGCCCAGGAAGGGGTGAGGTATGCCATATATTCCCATGGAGGCTGGGGGTAGGTACATAACACAAACTCAGTAATTAATTTCGTAGCATTGTCCCCAAGCTCTGGATTTTTCTCTCCAGGACCCCAGCTTTAGGCGGTGAGTAATGCTTGCAAGCAAGTTACTGAAGGATTTAAAAATGGACAGCCAATGTGTTCAGCCACTCAGGCCCATACCTGGGGCCTCTAGTGTATTGTATCATATTTCTCTGTGGAAAACGTCATGTTTAGTCAAGTTGGAGCCCACTCGCCTGGTCCGTTTGTTCTCCCTATCCCTTTTCCCAAGCACCCTTTGATTTCTCTTCTGAGAACAGTACTACCCGTTCATCTATTGTAGAGTAACCCGTGACTCAATATTACCATAGTGCGATGTTGTTTTGTGCTATTTTGAACAATTAAAAGACTTTTTTTGAAATAACCATCTGGTGTCTACCCCTGTGTCAAAAGTGTCTTGCGACCTTTGGAAAAGGGAAGCTGGGACCTACCCAAGGTTCACTTGAACAGGGAATCTTTTATTACCAGGAATCATAGGTGAGTGACTCTCAATTGCCCTTCTAAGAAGGCTCCAGAGCAAGGTATGCCACTGGGGCCTCTAGAGCCATGCTATCTTATAGGCCCAAGGCTGAGGGGCCTCTTGAGTGCTTGCTGCTGATTCTGCATTTGGAAGCCAGGTCACCTACCTATTCTCCCACTAAGGGGCAGACCAAGATTAAGGCCTGGCTGGCCATTTGGCAGACAATTGAGTAAACTACAGCCTCTATAGTTCCAACATAAGCTCAGGAGGCTCCAGGATGGCAGCTGTAGCAGAACAGGTATGTCTGACAAAGGATGAATACTCAATGTAGGACCAAATCCTCTAACTTGGTGCACAGGCCAAATGTCCAAAGAAGTCGAGGCAGAATTATTGACCCTGGCACTCCAGCAGCCAGTTGGGTGGTACAGCTATGACTTGATTGAATAGTGCTATCTGGGCAGAAAGCTAAGAAAGCCTGGAGATAAGGTGGTCCTGGCCTATAGCCAGAGCTCAGTGTTGACAGCTCTAGGTGCCAGCAGGCTGAGAGTAGTAAGCATACCACCTTCATGCATCTCCACATCCCTGGTGCTTGAGCTAGAGAAAGAAGGGGTGTGGGGACATGTTTGATCAGCACCTCACTTCTTTCTGACATCCCTGCTGCTACTCCCTTTTAGGCTTATTTTTTTTAAGATGGTCTCACTGCATTCCTGGCGCTCACTATGTAGACTAGGCAGGCCTCAAACTCAGAAATCTGCCTCTGCTTCCCAAGTGCTAGATTATAGACTGTCACACCCAACTTTTTTTTAATTTATTTTTAATTATGTGTGGGTAGATGGGTGGATAAGTATGTGTAGGTTCCCTCAGATACCAAAGACAGTCCTCTGGAGCCAGGGTTACAAGCAGCTGTGAGCTGATCAACTTCAGTGTTGGGAATTGAACTTGGGTCCTATGTAAGAGCAATATACATTCTTAACCACTGGGCTATCTTGCCAGGACTACATAGTGAAACCCTGTCTTAGAAAACAAAAATACTGAGCTTGAAGCTGGGTGTGATGCAACACACCTTTAATCCCAGTTCTTGAGAGGTAGAGGCAAAAGGGTCAGGAGTTCAAGACCATCCTTGGCAAATAGAATTCAAGGCTAGGCTGGAATACATGAGACTTGCAAGCAAACTGAGCTTGAAGGCAGAAAGAGGCATCACAGTCTTGCCTCACCCTGCTTCATGAGATCCAGGGCCAAACCACCTTTAGTATTATACTAAGGCTTGGCCTTGATCTTGAGGAGGATGGTATGTGTGTAAGGGAGGCAGAGGAGAGGATGGACATGGAGAAAAACAGTTTAAATAAATGGCACACAAGCTTCCTAGCTACACAGATCCAGGGTCCCCTGGGTATAAGCTAAGATGAGAGTAGATAATGCACACAGCAGCTGAAGTAGACACCTAACAGATGGGAACAAGGCTTACTCCAAGCACAACAAAGGTGAAGTGTTTCAGGCTAAAGCCACTCCAACCTGCAGAGCTAGCCAGCAGCCATAGTCTTTATGAAATCAAAGGTCTGCACACAGCTGGGATGTGGGTGGCACAAGAACATAATCATATCCAGGGATTGGATTCTTTTTACTAACCAACTCCTAGAGCAGCATTGATGAGGCAGCAGGTCTAGTTACTTTACACTCTTGGATTGCTGTCCATCCTTAAGGGCATGTTCTAGAAACTGGAGTGATGACTTAGCAGTTAAGTACACTGACGTTTCCAGAGGGCCCAGGATCAGTTCCCAAAGCCTACATGAAAACTCACAACCAACTGTAACTCTAGCCCCAGAGGATATTAAGAGCATGTGGTGCGCAGACACACATATAGGCAATAATAATAAGATTCAGAACATGTTCAAGCTCCCCAACTACCTCAGGCTTTCTGACTGAAACTCTTCCTTCACAGAATTCTGCTGATAATGAGGTTGCCCAATGGGTAACAAGAATGGGTGGAGGGGCTGGAGGGATAGCTCATCTGTAATGAGGTCTGGTGCCCTCTTCTGGCATAGAGGTATACATGCAGGAGGACTATTGTATACATAAATCTAAAAAAAAAAAAAAAAAAAAAAGAATGGATGGATGGATGGAACAGATCAACCAGCCTGTCTCAGAGCCAACCTATACTGAGTAGTAGAAGGTCCGGAGATCTGGAAGGTTCCCACTCTGCTCTGCATGATTACCCACTGTTTTCTCAGAAGCATCTTTTGGGATGAAGTATCCAGGAACTGACCAATCAGGGCCAATGATTGTAAACTACTGGATACTGACAGCTGAAGCAGCTAAAGGACCAAATTGGCAAATATGACTTGCCCACTATATGGGGGTCATAGGGTCTCAGGATTCAGGCATTTCCAGGAGAACCCCAACCTCACACATCTGTTGGGATCACCAGCCTCAGTTGCCAGGCCCAAGTCGTTCTCCTTCCTACTCTCTCCCAATGGGACAAGACTCCTCATCCAATTCCCACCAGGGTGATCTAGATCAAGGGTGCTCAGCCCGAGCCTAGATGGGCAGGGGGCGGGGAAACCCCGCCCACTGTCCCGCCCCTACCTCTGGGCCCTTTGAACCCAGAGGAGGATCAGGTGGGTGGGGCACTGCTCGGTCAGCTGAGTGATTGTCACGGGATTGCAACCAACTCCCGTTTCCTGGAGGAAAGCGAATATATGGACCGAGCGTTACGAGTCAGACGTATCCTTGGCGGGAGAGGTGCTGTTCTGGAAGGTCCCAGGCAACGGTGGGATCAGAAGCCCACAGAGGCAAGAGGGATCCTTGACTCAAGGACCTAAGGGGGGTGGGGTGCGAGCAAACAGCTCTGGGGCCCACTTGAGCTGTTTCAGGAAGTCGCTGTGAAGAACTCTGTCTCCATGCCCTGACCTGAATCACTTCACAGGACATGGAGAAGGAACGGGAGGCACTGCAGGTCTGGAAGGAACGAGTGGGACAGGAGCTCGACACTGTGGTCGCTTTCTGGCTACAGCACTCCCATGACGAGGAACACGGGTTAGCTACCCCTCACTGATTGTCCCAGGGCTTTTGCCCCTCTGAAACCCCTAATTCGTTCTGAAGTTTCACAGATCTACTGGCTTCATGAGAGTAGTGAAGTTATGAAGAAGGGTGCGAGTCTCCTTCCCTCTTTTTCTAATAATAATACATGTCTCACAGGGGCTTCTTCACATGTCTTGGCCGCAATGGGCAGGTCTATGATCACCTCAAATATGTCTGGCTACAGGGGAGGCAGGTCAGTTTTTACACTTAAGACTGTCACACAACAATTGGAGATACCCAGGGATACTTAGGATTTCCCTTACCCCAGCTGCCTCTCTTTAAACTGTATTCCCTCACAGGTATGGATGTATTGTCGCTTGTACCGCCTTTTTGAGCGCTTCCACCGTGCTGAGCTTCTGGATGCAGCAAAAGCAGGTACTCTCTCCTACCCCCATCTCCTCAGGAGCTTCAAGTGAGTCATTTATTCAGTGGATCTAAAAGGGTCTAAAAAAGGGAAGGGACTGGGCATGTTTCAAGAGGCAGTATATTCTCAGCCCTCACCTAGCATGCATTCTCCCTAACCCTAGGTGGTGAGTTTTTGCTGCATTATGCCCGGGTGGCACCGCCTGGCAAGAAATGTGCCTTTGTGTTGACTCGGGATGGCCGTCCAGTCAAGGTGCAGCGGACCATTTTCAGCGAGTGTTTTTACACCATGGCCATGAATGAGCTTTGGAAAGTAACAGGGGAAACACGTTATCAGGTATGTGGGAGGGATGGCTACAGGCTGTGGATGTGAGTGCACTCTCACAGGCCTGGGAGTCTGCCACAACTCCCATTCATTCCTGTCCTACCATTTTGTGACCACCTTCTCTCCTCAGCTCTCTCTCAATTCCTATATCACCATAGGGACCCTAGGCAAACGGATCTGTCCGTGCCCTGTATCCAAGTAGAAGAGGTTCTCTCCTTCCTTCCTTCCTGGGCTCTACTGCCTGAAAGTGACCTGAATCCCAGAGCCCCCCAAGCCGTGTTGGGTGAATGTGCTTGGCCTCTGGTGCCTGGCTGTGGGCTGGCCCTGGAGAGCTGTAGAAGGAGCAGGTGTCCTTGGAGAACAAGCTGAGTACTGGGTCCTTCCTAGGGGAGACAGATGGGATTGTAGCTTCTATCTGTTCTCCCCTCAGAATGAAGCTGTGGAGATGATGGACCAGATCATCCACTGGGTGCGGGTGGACCCCACTGGGCTAGGCCGGCCTCAGCTCTCGGGGACCCCAGCCACAGAGCCCATGGCGGTGCCTATGATGCTGCTCAGCCTGGTGGAGCAGCTTGGGGAGGAAGATGAGGCACTGACCAGCAAGTACGCAGAACTAGGGGACTGGTGTGCCCACAGGATTCTGCAGCACATCCAGGTAGGCACAGAGAGAGTGGCAGAGTGAACCTTATCCTCCCATTATACAAGGGCCCCTCCACCTGAAATATGTTCTTCAGCTTTCTAGACAGGTGGATTGGATCTAAGGAAGAACATTCTTTTGAAATACAGTCCAGGGCCCTCAGGAAGGTAGAGCCTGGCTTGCTAGGACAGAGATGGGTGGGTCCTAAAGTACTAAGAAGAGGCCAGAGCCCCAGGCGAATCCTGAGACCTCGATCTACTCTATGCCCTCCTTAGCCTCTGGGCACCCAAATCTATCTTGCCTCTTCATTCAGTGTTTTTACTCTCTCCTACCTGAGATCCTGACCTAAAGGAAGGATCAGAACCTACAGATCCCTGAGAGACAATCAGCCATTCCAAAAATGTTCTTCTGTTATTCCAGAACACCAGAGGTTGAAGCAGGGTAATCTAGAGTTCAAGGTCAGGCTTGCAGGTGTAGAGTTTGAGACCAGCCTGGGCCCTTCCAAGACTGTTTCAAAACTTACGACTGTCCAGTGATGGTGGCGCACGCCTTTAATCCCAGCACTTTGGAGGCAGAGGCAGGTGGATCTCTGTGAGTTCCAGGACAGCTAGGGCTGTCACACAGAGAAACCCTGTCTTGAAAAACCAAAACCAAAAGACACCCCCTTTGGTCCTACTGAATAAGTGGATGGCTGGTACCAAGGGTAGAGAAAAAAAGGGATTTTCTTTTTTCTTTCTTTCTTTTTTTTTTTTTTTTTTTTTTTTTTTTTTTTTTTTTTTTTGGGACAGGGTTTCTCTGTGTAACAGTCCTGGCTGTCCTGGAACTCACTATATAGACCAGGGTAGCCTTGAACTCACAGAGATCTGCCTGTCTCCCCAGAGTTGGGATTAAAGGTATGGGCCACCATGTCCTGCGGAGGGATTTTTGAAGTTAGATCTTTCTGGTTGGATGACAGGGAACTGGAAACATCTCTCTTTTGCCCCTTTCCTGACAGAGGGATGGAAAAGCTGTGTTAGAGAATATATCAGAGGATGGTAAAGAACTCCCTGGTTGCCTTGGAAGACATCAGAACCCAGGTGAAGATGTGTGCTGGCCCACCCAGAAAAAGAACTCAGCTTTCAATTTGGCCTCATATGGGAGGGGGCTGCCCTCCTCCCTCCACCAAGGACCAGACAGGAAAGAGATAGTCTGCACAGGACTGGGCATTGGCTGCAGGAGCTTAAGTATCTATTGGGGGAGGCATATATATATTTTTAAATTTTTTTTTTTGCAGGGAATGGAGTCCAGGAAAAAGGGTTGTGACAGAGTTCAAACATCTTTAATACTTGAGGAAGGGAGGTTCCAGGAACTCAAGCCCTCAGATGCTTGGGAGGGAAATTCTGATTCCTGCCTTACTTTTTTTTTTTTTTTTGGTTGTTTTTTGAGACAGGGTTTCTCTGTAGTTTTTGGTGCACGTCCTGGAACTAGCTCTTGTAGACCAGGCTGGCCTTGAACTCACAGAGATCTGCCTGCCTCTGCCTCCCGAGTGCTGGGATTTAAGGTGTTTCCTTACTTTCTTTAAACCCTTACTAGGCCATGCAATAGAAGCTGGCTGGTTCCTGCTCCAGTATGCCCACAGAAAAGGTGATGCCAAACTTCAAATGCACATCATTGACAAGTTTCTCTTGTTGCCTTTCCACTCTGGATGGGACCCTGAGCACGGAGGACTCTTCTACTTCCAGGATGTTGATGGGCTCTGCCCCACCCAGGTGAGAATGCCCAGAGCAACTTGCTTGAAACCTGGCACATAGTAGGGGAACTCAGAGCCTGGCATGGTAGCACACGCCTTTAATCCTAGCACTTGGAGGAAAGAGGCAAAAGGATCTCTGTGAGCTTGAGGCCAACCTTGTCTACAGAGTGAGTTCCAGGACACCCAAGACAACACAGAGAGACCCTGTCTCCAAAAAAACTAACTAACAACAACAAAAATTTGAACCTAGAGTCCAGTTAAGAAGAGTATGTGCAAATGCTGGTGCCAAGACACATATCTCCTTTGTCTGGTGCCAGTGGCTGGAAGGGCTCTTAGGTGGTTCACACTTTCTCACTTGGTGGCAGACAGAAGTGAAATTGCTCTTCTCATTAGTTGTGTCCTGATCCTGCTGGAGGTCTACAGAGGGTACTATACCAGCCATGGGTAGCAGCAGTGTCGAAGAGGCTTAAAAATGATGTGGCAAGACAGCATTCTGATTTAAGAGCTAAAGGGAGTCTGCCCCAGTACTTTTCTTTTTAAGGAGCTGCTTAGAAAGCTATCCCTCTTCTTAAGGACTATTCAAACTCTATCCCCCATATCTTATGATTTAAAACCAAGTCCTGAGCCAGTCAGCCTGAACCAGAACATCGGATGGAAGTGTCCTTAAGGGGACCTCAACTGCCTATCTCTGCTCTGTTCTTAGCTAGAATGGGACATGAAGCTTTGGTGGCCACACAGTGAAGCCATGATTGCCTTCCTCATGGCTTTCAGTGACACTGGGGACCCTGCCTTGCTTCAAATCTTCAACCAGGTTGCTGAGTACACCTTCAGCCATGTAAGTGCTATCTAAGTGTTTCTTAGAAGCCCAGTACAGATATGGAGGGTCTAAGAGGCAGCAGGAGGGAAAAACAGGGACTGTGTAAGAGGGTCCAGTAGGTTTTCCCTCAGCCCCTCCTAGGGCCCATTCATGAGGTACTGTTCTCAGCTGTTCTGAGAGTTCCAAGAGTGCCTTTTGTTTGGTAAACCAAGAAACCCTGCCTCAAGGAATTCACCTTTCTGGGTGATCAGACTTGATTAAAGTAAACAAGCAAATGTAGAGAAGAATAAGCTGTGGGAAACAAAGTAGACAGCAAATGATACAGAACTTTCTCATAGAAGGGTCAGAGAAAACCTTGTGAGCAAGGATCCAAAGCAATGGAGGGCAGGAACATCCTTGATCTGCCAGGTCCAGCAGCCTGAGCCTTGACAGGAAATCCAACAGCTAGGATGTCAGGCTGCTGGATCACCAGTTGAATACTACCTCCCCACATGTGTACGTGTGCATGTATGAGAGAGAGAGTATAGGTAGGTTGGAGGACAAAATCAGGTGGTCCTCAGTCACTACATACCTTTTTGTTGAGACAGGGTCACTCACTAGCTATGTTGGCTAGCAGGCAAACCCTTGGGACCATCCTATGTCTGTCTCTCCAGTGGTGGGAGAGAACCGCCTGCCTCTGTCTTCTGAGTGCTGAGATTAAAGGTTCTCACCACTGCCAAGCTAGTTTGCAAGGCACTTTACTGACTCTTGGCCCAGCAGATGAGTTTCTGAGGCTGTCATTCAGAGAGAGAAATTTGGCCTGTTACAAACACCTCATTGTCAATAAAAAAATGTAGGTGACTTGGGTAAGGTGGTTCATATCTGTAATCCCAGGCCTTGGGTGGCTGGAACTAGAAGATCACAGCAAAGAAGAGCTCAGTCTGATCTACATAGTAAGTTTAAGACCAACCAGCTACATTTGGAAATCTTGCCTCAAACAAACATAACAACAGCTGAAGATGACCTTGTACTTCTGTCCTTCCTGCCTCCACCTTGACTCCTGAATGCTGAGATAGAGATGGGTGTACTACATCTGACTGGTTTGTACTAACTGTAACTGAAATCCAGCATGGTTTTATTGTGCTCAGCGCTAATTCCAAACACGAGCCATTACGTTGTATCTCTGCCTGAATACTGAATATATATGTTAAGGGAGTGAAGTAGAAGTCATCGATCTTTTTTTTTTTTCTTTTTTGGTTTTTCAAGATAGGGTTTCTCTGTATAACATTGCTGGCTGTCCTGGAACTCGCTTTGTAGACCAGGCTGGCCTTGAACTCACAGAGATCCACCTGCCTCTGCCTCCCAAGTGCTGGGATCAAAGGTGTGCACCACCACTGCCCAGCTAAAGCCACCAATCTTAACCAGAAAATGAAGTAAGAATGAACTTGAACAAGGTGGAGATAACATTAAACAATTCCAAGAGCCCATTGTGGTGTGCATCCTTGTAATCTTAGCAGTTGGGAGGCCAAGTCAGGAGGTCTGTGAAGTCAAACCCTTCCTGGGCTACTGTCTCAAACGAGAACAAAAAAAAAAAATGAATTGCAAAATTTATAATCAACACGGAGCGCTGGGTGGTGGTGGCACACGCCTTTAATCCCAGCATTTGGGAAGCAGAGGCAGGTGGATCTCTGTGAGTCTGAGGAACTGCCAAGGCTACACAGATACTGTCTCAAAAAAAAAAAAACTAGAAATGAAAGGGCATGGACCAGTTATGGTCCTGCGTGCCTTTAGTTCCAGCAATGGGGGGGCAGAGGCAAGAAGACTTCAGTTGGATTCCAGGCCAACCTGAGCCACATAGAAAGTTCCAGGACAGTCAGGAATACAAGGTGAGACTCCTTCTCAAAAATAAATACATAACAAGGACAAGACTAGTCAAAAGCTACAAAGATTAGATACAGGGCTGCTTATACCTCCATTGAATACACTACCACCACTCTTTCTGAGACAGACTGTACTGCCTTGAACTTGAAGCATTTCTGCCTCAGCCTCCTGTGTCCTGGGATTATAGACATGAACACAGCTTAAAATCCACAACTCATATGTCACAATTTAAAGGAGAATTTTGATAGTAAACTTGAATGCCTTCTAAGTAGGGGTTCTACTTAACTATTTTATCAGTGAGAACTAAATGGGAAGGGCTTAGGATAAGGACCTGGGCTACATTTTGGGAACTGAAAAGCCTCAGTGAGACAGGTACAATGTGTCTCTCCAGCCAGCTCAGCTACTATCCCCCATATCTGAAGCATCAGAAGTGAGAAATATGTTCAGAACCCATGGTGAAGGTAGGCAGATGACCAGGTTGGCCTGAAACTTACAGCAATGTGTCAGCCTCCTGACCGGTGGGAGTAAAGGCATCACACAGGGTTAGAAGGAAGTCTGAGAGCCTGCTATAAAAACCTCAGTATGTGATGGACAGGAGTTATGTGTCTCTGCTTGATAATCTAAAGGTTTTTTAGACCAAAGGCCTGTAAAGTAGAGGACATGAACTCCAGGGAAGTCACTTGTTGCAAACTTTGCTGGCAGGATTCTTTGTTTCTTTCTCTCCCTTTCTCTTTTAACTTAGATGAGGTAAAAATGTGCCTGTTTTTTGGACTCCAAACACACAACGCCTGTTCTCCCAGCGTTTTAGCACACCGCCTGCAGCCCCTTATCCCACTGGGTTACACAAGCTGGGAAGTCCTACTGCCTACCATCCTCAGCTTTCTTCTGAGATCATGCTGTCTGAACTCGGCTGGTAGCAGTGCAAAGGGGCAGCAAGGGCCCCTTCCTCAGCCAGTGATATTCGGGTGGGCCCTGCCAGACACTAGCTGTCATTGTCTCCTTCCTTATCCTAGTTTCATGATCCTGAGTTTGGAGAATGGTTTGGCTATCTGAACCGAGAGGGAAAGGTGGCCCTCAACATCAAGGGAGGTCCTTTTAAAGGTGAGCGGAGAGAGGGGCGAGGCTGCAAGGGTTTGTGACACCTAGCTGCCTGGGCTCTCCCAACCCTGGCATCCATTCTCCTCACAGGCTGCTTCCACGTGCCGCGGTGTCTGGCCAGGTGTGAGCAGATTCTGGAAGCCCTGATCCACCGCCTCGGGCCCACCTCCGTCGTGTCCTCACCCGCTGACCCCATCTGCGGAGGCTCGAAATAAATCTGACCCTGTTCCACCAGCTTGTGTGCGCACCTCTGTGGGCCCCGCGGGAGGGTACAGCTACTTTCCACGCTGCCCACTTTGCGGGCCTTCGCCGTGGACCCAAAGGCGCCACCTCTACCGCGCCCATTGGCTCTGGGCGCTCACTGACTGCAGTTTAGAGGCGGATCCCGTAGCCGCGCATTTCCGCTGCAGGCGGCTCATGGCCCACCCCTTCCGCCCCCGCCCCCCCCGGGAGCCTGGCCCCAGCCCCGGCCCCTGTCGTCCGTGCGGTGCTTCTGAGTGGCCGCTGAGCGCGCGCGTTCACGACCCACAAGGACCCGCGAGCTCCGCCGCCGTGATGAACATCCGCAATGCTAGGGTGAGGTGATGGGGAGCCAGCCTGTCCCCACCGTATGGGTACCTTCCCGGGTGACCGCGTGCGCATGCTACCTAGGGATCTGGGAGCTGTGGCCCTACACGTCTGCGGCCGCTGGACCTTCAGGCTGCTGCAACCTGCTTTAGACATCTCGCGATTATAGTCTCCCTCGTTTGCCTGATGTCAAGGCTCCATAGAGTGGGCTCCGCGACCTCCAGGCGCTGCTGCTTAGTCCTGAAACTGGCATCTTTTGCAGGGCGCATAGAAACCAGGCTTGTGCAAAGTCAATCACAACCCTGACCTTCCCGGGGGAAAGGGAGGCCCAGAGATTATCAGAGAACAGGAGTCTCGCGTGTGTGAGGCCCTCTTAGTCACTGCAGTCTTGGACTAACCGTGTCCTGCTGTTATACAGCCCGAGGACCTGATGAACATGCAGCACTGCAACCTTCTCTGCCTGCCCGAGAACTACCAGATGAAGTACTATTTCTATCATGGCCTCTCTTGGCCCCAGGTGGGCAGCTTTTGTGTTTTGTAAGGGGCAACAGTAGTGAAACATAGATCCCAGTAGGCTAAAAGCAGTGGGCAGTATCTCTTGGCACAGGGAGGCCCTGGCTGATGGGGAAGCCTGGCAAATGAAAAGGTGTATGTAGGAACTGTAAGCTAGACACCGGTTGGAGATGGGATTCCCACCTGTGCCTGTGCTCTTCCAAGAGAGGGCACACGTGTGGAGTATGGAAACTGGGCTCCTTGCATTGCAGCTTCCCACTATCCTACACACAGCAGGAGTTTGGTAGTGAGCTCTAGCCTGTTGCCTGCTCTGCCTGACTTCCTTTTCCTCTCTGTCTCCAGCTCTCTTACATTGCTGAGGATGAGAATGGGAAGATTGTGGGGTACGTCTTGGCCAAAATGTGAGTCACCAAGGAGGAAGAAAAGAGTCTAATGCTACGGCTGGCTGTTGAGGGGCTGGGGAAAAGCTTTGGAGAAGGGAATGGGAAGTCAACCCCAACCATGTCTGGTGAATGAGGGGTTCCCACTCTTTTGCCCAGATTAGTCTCAAACTTTTAGCAGTCTTCATGCTGAGCCTCCTTAATGCTGAGATTAACTATGCCCAGCTTGCTGTAAATTTTGTTTTTTTAACTAACAGGTTGCTTGTAGGGTAGCTCTAAGTTGACAGAAAAATTGAGCAGAAGGTAGAGTATTTCCACGCACCCTTCCTCCACATTTGTTCTCTCACTACCATATATGGGACACTAAGTAGAAGTGAGAAACCAGCCCATATTTTGTTTAGATTCATGTTTTCATTGTTGTGCTTCTGTCTGTGTTGCATGCCCTCTGAGTTGGACAATTGAAGAGTGTCTGTCCATCTTCAGAGTAGTCCATCTTCCCACAACCTCCAACAGTGGGGTCGCCTTTTCAGAGTGTTGCATTCAGCACTATTCTCTTTTTAAAGATTTTTTTAATTTAGTTATTTTTATTTTATGTACATTGGTGTTTTGCCTGCAGGTATGTCTGTATGAGGGCACTGAATCCCCTGGAATAGAAGTTAGACAGTTGTGAGGTGCCATGTGGTTGCTGGAGAATTGAACCTGGGTCCTCTAGAAGAGCAGTCAGTGCTCTTAACCACTGAACCATTTCTCCAGCCCCAGCACTACTCTTCTTGTGGCTTGGCAGCTGACATTTTGGGGGGGGGGGTCAATCTCAGGGCAATGCTCTGTTAACACTGTACGTATCTGGAGGGTGTAGCATGGGGCTTTATTCTGACTGAGAAGTTCCTAGTTCTCCTCTACCTGGATCTGGGGTGCTGTAGAATCCACCACAAATTGCACGCTTGCTGTGCACAGGTATCCCAGATAGACTGCACCTGTACCAGGCTCCTTTCTAACTTTCTCCTCTAGGGAAGAGGACCCAGATGACGTGCCCCACGGACATATCACCTCACTGGTGAGTAGAGCTGTGAGGGTTTGGCAGAGGTGGACTGGAGGTAGTTGAACGCAGCCTCCAAGGTCCCTCTCTACCCACCCTTCTTCTCTCAGGCTGTGAAGCGTTCCCACCGGCGCCTTGGCCTGGCTCAGAAGCTGATGGACCAGGCCTCTCGAGCCATGATAGAGAACTTCAATGCCAAATATGTCTCCCTGCATGTCAGAAAGAGGTGAAAGCCAAGTTGGGGAAAAGGGCAACACTAGGGAGTGGGGAGGAAGAGGTAGCCAGTTGGTAGGGATACTGGGGCTTACTGCCTTCAGAAGAAGATGGGAGGTAGCATTAGTGGGGAAGGAGGACCAGGAAGAAAGGCAGGACCTGGCCAATATGCCTGGCCAAGTTTGTGAAGTTCAGTGGTGCCTTATTCCCCTGCAGTAACCGGGCTGCCCTGCATCTCTATTCCAACACCCTCAACTTTCAGTAAGTAGATCAAGATTTTTTTTTTAAGTGGGATGATCCATCCATTTGGTTGAGGTGGACTGAGAAAGGGGTGGAAGGACTCCAGACATTTCTAGGAGGCCTTCTATATATTCAGTGGCTGGCTGTTGACTGACAAGCGAACATCGAGAAGGCTCCTGCTTTCTGTATGTGTGGGAGAGAAGGGGCCCAACGCATCTTGCTGGGTAGAGGAAAGATGGCTTGGTACTATTGAGGCTGGTGAAAGGCAATGGGGTAAAGAACACACAAGGCTTCTTAGTGTTGGTCTAGGAGTAAAGAGAGATAGGCTAGGGCATGAGCAAAGGCAGAGAAGTGACTGGTACTAGGAAGCATCAGGTGAGAGCAGATGAAAGGGGATGGCAGAGAAAAAGGGCCATGAGCAAAAGCAATGAGGGACCGATAGCTCCGGATGTTCTGATGACTGATGTCAGCTCATGTTCATGAGATGAGTATTGAAGAGAGTGGCTGGGATAAACTGATTGAAGGATCCACTGAGTCACACACTAGGCTTTGAGTGGGTAAAGCGAAGATGAGACCATTGGAATCAGGGCAGTGGCCTTCAGGCTTTTCTGGGTTCAGTACCCAGATTCATGGAGGGCTCTTTGACCAAGTTAAGGATACCTCTGGTGAGAACTACTTAACACTCTTAAGTCAGCAATTCCCAGCTAGGTGTGGTAGTACATGCCTATTAATCTCTGCACTCAGAAGGTGGGGGACTGTGGGTTAGGAACCTGGCACAGGGAGTTCCAGGTCAGTCTCAGCTACACAGCAAGACCCTGTCTCAAAATAGGGGTGCTAAGGAGTTAGCTTAGTTATGAGAACCTGAATTTGATCCCTGGCACCCATGTATAAAAGCCACATACAGTGTTATCCTAGTGCTGAGGAGGTTAAGACAAGAGAATCAGAGGTTAAGACAAGATAATTCCTGGGTACACTAACCAACCAGCCTAGCTGAATGGGAACAGTCCAGGTTCAGTAAAGAGATCCTATATTGAAAAAAAAATAAGGTGGGAAGCAATTAAGGAAGATACCCAACATATACCTCTAGCCTCCACATGAACACATGAGCATGTGTACACACACCAATTCTCTTGACTTCATGTCTTAGGCCATCAAATGGCTTCCCTTCCACTGTCAGGGCTACTCAAGTGTGCACACATATCTCCCTTCAGCAGTAAGTCTGTGATGACCACCTACATGCAGGTACAGTGTCTCTCTTTCCTAGCAGAGGAACCAGCTGTATGTTCAGTAAATGACAGGAAGCAAGCAGATCAGAGAGAGGAAGGAGGAGGCAGAATTGAGGACTTCAACTCAGAAAGACACAAGTCATTGCTAGTGAAGCTAGGGACAAAGTAGTGGCAAGTCCAGGGATGGGAAGTATCCTGGATGCTACTTATGATGCTTGGCTTCAGTGGGGAAAGCAGAGAAAGCCATCAGGTTGTTAGAAAAGAATTCATTCAAATGAAAAACTAAAAAAATAATCCATTCAGGCTGGCCTTTTGCTTTACTCACACACCCCCCCCCATACACCCACCCTAGTAGCCTAAGAACCAGAGAATTTGCCCCCAGGTGTGTGTCTCCATCCTACCCTCAGAATCAGTGAAGTGGAGCCCAAATACTATGCAGATGGAGAAGATGCATATGCAATGAAGCGGGACCTTACGCAGATGGCTGATGAGGTAAGAGTTCAGCCAAAACAGGCCAGCAGTTCCAGCAGTAGAGGGGATTTAGTACTTGGGAAAGACCTGTGAGTCAGGGGGGGCATTGGTGGCTCGAGGCAAGGCCAAGGTTGAGTGTCAGCCCTTGTAGCTATGGAGCTAGGAGTCAGAGTCCCTCTTTCCCTCACTTCGGAAACTGACAAGTAGGGGCATGGCCTTGGTTGACTGTAGAGGAGGCCATGGGATGCTCTTCAGGGAAGG